ATTCTCCTCTATCGCGAATAAATAGCGAGCGATCTATCAATCTTTAACTTTATTTCTTTACCCGGACTATTGTGAATGTTACGTGAATTGTATATTCGCAATAGTTGATTTTTAAAGTAGTATAGTGCCCAGAATCAGTTAAAGATTTATTTCAATAATCCCTAAACTACAATTAGAACTGACATCAAGGTGATATTGTCATATTCCCTTTGTATATCGAAGAAGGTGGCTGTTACTCCTTTATTGTTCTCTCTCCTTTTTCCACACGGACTATACTGAATGTTACGTGAATTGTTTATTCACAATAGTTAATTTTGTTCGCTGTCAAATGCTAAATCAATTTTATAGAGATTTTAAAATCGGTCCTTCGGAAATGCATTTCAAGTAGTTTAAAAAGTAAAATCATTTTAACGTTCATAATAATTAACTTATAAATATTGGTCGTAAATAAGTTGTTTATGAACCTAAATGAGAATTAATCTAATGTTGATCCAAGTCGTTATAAGAATTTTTCAAAAATGTTTGTTCTTAGTAAAAGCTTAAAGATGTTAATGTTAAGATAAAATCTCTAACGATGCTTTTATTTCAATCTATATCAGATCATATCGGGATATCCCTTATGAGTCTAACAAGCATAAATCTCTCAGCAAAATCTTTAGTTACCCGGTAAGTAGGCAAGTAATATTGGAGCAAAGTGTAAGTACTTAGTTTTTGGGGGAATAACTACTTATGTTTGTTCGATGATTACCAAATAAATGGTTACAAATGTGATCACCAGACTTTTCCGGATTTATAACCACTTTTGCGGTTATTGTCTGTGTTTATATGCTTTTTGGAATAGTTTTTACACAAATGTAAAAATCAATATTTTTTTAAAAAACATCTAATATCGACTAGGGTTAGAACCTCCAACTAATACTTTCTAGACAATTGGCTACAAATCCAATTCAAAAAAATGATTTAAAATTATTAATAATGACCACTTATTACCAAGTAATGTATGAAATAACTACATAATAATTTCGCCACTGTAATAAAATTCGAATTCTATGGGAATAGGTCAATAAATATTATATATGTATCATATTAGAATATTGAATACTATATGGCCGAACATAATTTCTTTTACAATGAGTTTTAAATCACGTTTAATTGCCTTCAGCTATCAATTCGGTGAATTTAAATTTAATTCCTATATAAAATTCAGTTAGATTTTAATATTTCTTCATAAAATTAAACTAGTTTAAAATATATTGTGAATCATTTGTTTAAATGTGGGAATTAAAATGATTCATTTAAGCAAGAAAAATTTTATTGTAAAAACAATTGAATGCTCCTTATTTTTACTCATATTTAGAAAATAACTTAAAAAAAGTAGCATTAAATATATATATATATATATATATATATATCCACACAAATAAATGAATATGAATCGATTTTAAAAGAACTGTGCCGAACTACCTCGAATTTTGATATCGAAATTGCCAAACGTCCTGATATCGAATGCAATCGCCTAAAAATGGGAAGTTGAATTCGAAAATCGAAATTTAGTTAGAGAAATTAGAGTTACACTTAAGCTGACTTAGGCGATTATCGCTTGTTACCGATAAAATGGAATTTAAATTACTTTTGTTGACATTTGACTTAATTGGTCCAAATACCGGTTTTTTATAAAAAAATGAACTCTATGATAACCTTACCGATTTATTTTTAAACTAGTTCCCCTTAATTAAACAATTAAATTATTAACTATATTCATTAAATGTACTTTAGTTAGAATAACTTCCTAACTACTTTGTTATTATTTATAATAATATTTTTGTACTTTGTTAGCATAATTACTATTTCATTTTGTTCATTCTTTTGTATTTCAATACACCAACAACAATATTCGTGATAAAATTACCTTATTGTCTACCATTTTCATTGTTTTTTTTTTCAAAACAATTATTTCCTTTCTATAGTTAAGGTTTGAAATTTTAAAATTACCGCTTTTCTCTGTTATTTTTTGTACATTACTACAAAACCATCTGTTTTCGAATGGTGAATTATTGTGGTCTTTTGTTTTCAAAATAAAATAACCTTTATAAAGAGTGTATGTGCAACAAATTTCCGTTTTATTGCCAAACGTTCCTAAGTGCGTGACGTAGTTTTGAAAATGCATAAAACTCAATATGTTGGTCAAACGGCCAGGTGGTTGGTAAATTTAATGTGAATAAATTAACAACTGCAGTAAAGATAAACAAATTTTATATACCTACATATTTGAAATATTCTTAAATATTTTGAAATTTTTAAGAAAGTTGTACTTATAACATTTCTCTAAATATGGTAATTTGAGTATGTAGCTATTTGTTTTAAATCTTTTTGTTAGTCAGCAAATAATAACTTTATTTATTGTATACATTCAAAAGAAAACATAAAAGCAAATTTACTTAAAAAAATCTGTTCAGTTTAAAAGCAAGCTCAGAAACAATTATAAGTTGTTGTCTCAAAAAAGAGCTTTATTTGTTAACAATAATTTTCAGATAATGACAAAATATAATAATGTTTTTTTTTGCCAACATCATTACAATAATAGTTTTCAATGTCAAAATGTCATTTCGTTTTCAATACTTGACACAATTTTGTTTTAAATCAATAATTTTTTTATTAAGTACAAAACCAAAAAAGAGATTAAAAAATTGTTTTTCAAGTCATTAACCGGTTTTAAATTAGTTGTAAAAGTCGTCAATCTATTCTTAAAAATTAAACAATTGTTTTTAAGCGTTTAAAGCTTAAAAAGCAAACACTTAAGCCACGAATAAGTAAAATAAATATGTTTGACATATGTGCAAATATTTATTTAGATATTTAACAACAATATCCAACCAAATATTTAATGAAAAACTCGACAATCTTTAGTTATTGTATTTAAGTTATTCAAATTTAAAGGCATTAGATAAGTGTTAAATAATGTAAGATATTAGCATTGGAAATGATATGTTGACGTATATAGCAAAACTATACTATTAAAAACCAAATAATTAAACACCTCTATATTACTACCGATATATCTGTGTCAACATCAAGAACTTAAATATTTCCTTCTCTTTGGCTTAGCTAGATATAACTTTTTTAAGAGTTACAAGTTCGCCGTTCTTTACGCTCAAAACATTTAGCTTGGCAAATTTGGAGAGCTATTTTTTAACCCAAAACGCTTTGTGCAGACTTTACTGAGATATAGGGTAGTCAATAATTGTAATTTGCCCTTTAAAAAAGTCGTCTGACAACTCTGATGTGTTGTGTTTTTGAACTCCATAACTCTTCCTTTACAATTAAGTTAAAGAATAATTCCAAGTGGTCTAGTAGTTATCGATATTAAGATATTTGTAAGTTCCCTGCTATTGTTCCCAAACAGAAGAAGTTGGAAACCCTGATTGCATAATTTTTCTTATTCTACCACTCTTCCTTAACAAACTGAAGAAGGAGTGATTCCTATAGATCAAGTGGTATCCATTATTAAGCGTGGCAAAAGGAGTGCAAAGTTTCCCGCTCTTTATCACGAAAATATCAACATGGCAACCCTGTCGGAATATTTTTTTAGATTCCGAAACTAAGCTTTTACAAATTACCTCAAGAATGGTTTCAATATGACTCATAGTTCCTGAGATATAACAAGGTAAAGAAATTTCAAGTTCCCCGCTCTTAATTCCAAACATAATAAATTGTCAACCCTTGTTAAATATTTTGTTTTAATTTTACACAAGGTATAGTGTTGTAAAGAGAGTTAATAGTTCCCCGCTCTTTTTTCGAAAAATTGCAACCTGATAACCCTGGAAGAATAATTTTTTAAATTCTAAAATTATTCCTTAACACATTGGCTTAATAATGATTTCAATCGGTCCATTAGTTACCGAGATATAACATGGTGAAGATAGCACAAGTTTCTTGCTCTTTTTCCTAAACATAGTAACTTGGCAACCCTGGTGTGATAATTTTTTAGATTCCAAACATAATTCCTTAACACATTGGTCGAATAATGATTTCAATCGGTCCAGTGGTTACCGAGATAGAACAATGTGAAAATATAATACATTCCCCGCCCTTTATCCCAAACATGATAACTTGGCAACCCTGGTCAGATACTTTTTTCAATTCAACTACTCTTCCTTAACAAACTGACAAAGGAATAATTTCTATAGGTGCAGTGGTTCTAAAGAAATAGCGTGGTAAAAGGAGTGCAAAGTTCCCCGCTCATTTCCTCAAAAGTAGTAGCCTGGCAACCCTAGTGGAATAATTTTTACGATTCCAAAATTAATCCTTAACATATTAGCCGAATAATGATTTCAATCGGTCCAGTAGTTACCGAGATAGAACATGGTGAATATATATTAACTTCCCTGCTCTTTATCCCAAACATAATAACTTGGCAACCCTGGTAGGATAATTTTTTTCAATTCTACTACTTTTTCTTAACAAATTGGCAAAGGAATGATTTATATAGGTCCAGTGGTTCCAAAGATATAGCTTGGTAAAGGGAGTGCAAAGTTCCCCGCTCTTTTCCCCGAAAGTGGTAGCCTGGCAACCCTGGTGGTATAAGTTTTTAGATTCCAAATATATTCCTTAACACATTGGCTAAAAAATTATGCCAATCGGTCCAGTAGTTATCGAGATATGACGGTTTAAAGCAATCCCTCATTTTTCTCATTTTCCGAGAGATGGCAACCCTGGATAGGGCAATGGTCAGCGCCATCTATTGGGCGACATATTTTTCTACGTGCAAAACAAATTTTGGCCGCTCAATAGATGGCGCTATTTTTAGCCCTAAAGCCAGCATTGCCAACATCAAAAAATCCCCATATCTTTGAACGGCATTGCCAGATACAATTTTTAAAATATCCGTTAAATTCAAATGTTTAGAAAGCAAAAAACAAGGGATTTTATAGGATTTTTATGCAAATTTATGTTTATTATGTTAAAATTTTGTAATAAAATTATAAATAATATAATTTAACAGTAAATTAATATAAATTTAATATGTTCTTTATGTTTTTTAAAGGTTTAAATATACATTTAAATGTTGATTGATCCACTTCGCTTTAGCTGTTCGTACATCATTTTGGAAGCAGTTATTGAAGAGTTTTGTGATTGTTTCCTCAGAGCATCTTTTAATGTAATTTTTGCAGAACAAGGAGCTGAAATAGAAAAGAAATTAAATAAATTAAAGAATTTATGTATCAAATGGAATTAGAGGAGAATTTACTATTGTTTAAGACGTGATGTTTCTAAACTATATGGAAATATCACTTCTTTTTCGAATAGATACTGAACTAAAAAGCCTGTTCTGTTTGAAATTTGAATAATAAAATAGAGATTCCACTAAATTGTCTTAAGTGAAAAAACATATAATATTTCTGATTATAAAAGTTTATTCTTAAACGATGTCTATATATAAAAATAATTTATATATCTATCTTCATTACAAAACTAACTTGTTAATGGGTTAATTTAACCACTAATTTGAATTAAGAATCACAGCAGCCACAAGCAATAAAAACAACTTTTTGTAATGTCATTTGTTTTTGTGTAGTATTCTCTATCTCTAAATAAAAACAACGTGATGAAAAACCTTGTGCAGATTAATGTCAGTCATTCTGTATGAACAAAAAAATCTATAAAAACGAGTGTGAGGCAAAGGTGTGGGGTTTTAATATGATAATAACATACAGTACAAAGTGATGGTGTTGCATGATTTGAAACAAACAGGCAGCTCAAAAACACTATAATTTTTCTATTAGATTCAATATATTTACACTACTGAAATTATGCAATTTTTCAAATTATTATTTATAATCTCTGGGTAAAACTATCTAGATATAACAAATACATATTTGTAGCTAACACTTTATTAAGGGAAGCTTGTTTGTGTTCTAATAATAATTGCATTTTTGAGGGGTTTAAAAAATTATTTCGGTTTATTTTAAAGCAACAGGTATGAATGAATAATGGCAGCGTGTGTTTGCTTACGTCGTTATGCAAATTAAATTGCAAAATTTATTCCAAAAAGTAAAATAAAAACAAGCAGAACTGAACAATGTTTGTGTTTAAACAAAAATATACAAAAATTTACTACGTTTACGGAAATCAAACTTAAACAATAGAAACGCAAATAAAAGTGTGAAAATAACATAAAGTCAAGGTAATATTTAAGAAACAATTTTTTTACATTGTAAATGTACAAAATATTAAAAATAGCTTTTTTTAAATAACTTGTTTCATATTTAAGTTAGTTTCTTTTTAAATAATGCTCCACTTTAGTTTTAATCTTTATTAACATTTATCAACTAAATCTGTTTTTAATTAAACAATTGTTTTTCAATTTATTTTCATTATATATTCTTTTTTCTGTGTGATTTGTTCATTTGAAAACTTTTGATTTCATTTTAGTGCTATTTTTTCTTATAAATAACAGCCGCCTATGAAAAATTGTATAAATTATTTCGTAAATGAAAGAAACAGTTCAATAGATCAATTGTTATAACAATTACAAATTGACAATTATTTTTATGCATTTTTCATATTTTAGATTTGTGACAATAATTTGTGACAACATAAAGTATTTGAATGTAAAGTAAGTCTATGAAATGAATTGTTGGCGACAAATTTGAATGGGGTTTGTTAGTATATCATTTGTGTAAACTTTTTAACTGGGGTTTACATTCGAAGGTATTTTGCGCAGTCTATTGGAAGAGAGATTTTGATTTATAAAAAAAAACTTATTTAAGTGAAATTTTATCACTCTACTTGTATTGTAAGCCAGTTAAAGACGTTGAAGTTATTTTCAGAAGGGGAACTATATGGGGGAAAGGGTCCAATGGACCAATATATGAACCCAACTGTCCTTTTAGGAACACTAACATGTTTTTAACAGACATATACTTAGTTATCCAGATCGTGTTAGAATCTTATAAGCACCTACATATAATATAAATGTTTTTCTGGGTCCATGACCAATATTTCTATGAGTTTCAAACGGTATAAAAATGAACTTATGTATATGAGTTCCAAACGATATAAAAGTGAACTTTTGTATATGGGAACAAGGGTCAAAAGGGTACCGATTATGTCCTTTTCAATACCAACCAAAATGCCCGTTTAGGAACCCTATCATATTTTTAACACACAGACAGACAGACATGATCCAGATCGTCTTAGAATCTAATAAGTACCCAAAGTATAAGTACTTTTCTGGGTCTACGATCAATATTTCTATGCATTACAAACTTTGTGACGAAATCAATATTTTTATGAATTCCAAACGGTATAAAAGTGAACTTATGTATATGAGTTCCAAACGGTATAAAAGTGAACTTATGATATGGGTCAAAAGGGGACCGATTATGCCCTTTTCAATACCAATCAAAATGCCCGTTTAGGAGCCCTATCATATTTTCAACACACAGACAGACAGACATGATCCAGATCGTCTTAGAATCTAATAAGTACCCAAAGTATAAATACTTTTCTGGGTCTACGATCAATATTTCTTTGCATTACAAATGTCGTGACAAAATCAATATTTTTATGAGTTCCAAATGATATAAAAGTGAACTTATGTATATGAGTTCCAAACGGTATAAAAGTGAACTTATGATATGGGTCAAAAGGGGAACGATTATGCCCTTTTCAATACCAATCAAAATTCCCGTTTAGGAGCCCTATCATATTTTTAACACACAGACAGACAGACATGATCCAGATCGTCTTAGAATCTAATAAGTACCCAAAGTATAAGTACTTTTCTGGGTCTACGATCAATATTTCTTTGCATTACAAACGTCGTGACAAAATCAATATTTTTATGAGTTCCAAATGGTATAAAAGCGAACTTATGTATATGGGAACAAGAGTCAAAAGGGGACCGATTATGCCCTTTTCAATACCAATCAAAATGCCCGTTTAGGAGCCCTATCATATTTTCAACACACAGACAGACAGACATTATCCAGATCGTCTTAGAATCTAATAAGTACCCAAAGTATAAGTACTTTTCTGGGTCTACGATCAATATTTCTATGCATTACAAACTTTGTGACGAAATCAATATTTTTTAATGCTCGATATAAAAATTGCTATCGATTTCATTCACTTTATAATAAATTTACATATATTCTAACTTAAAACGAAACGATTGTAAAAACGATAATAGTTATTCAGTGTAAATGAATGGAATGTCTGGCAGTAACAAATCAAACTTGTTCAACTTGTTTTAACTCAATTACTTGTTACTAAATCAATTCATTCATTAAAATAGTTTACAGTCACTTTGTTATTTTTTAAATTTTGATTTAAGACATTTAAATAAATTACTCAATTAATAATTCAAATTAAATTTTTGTTTTAAATAAATAGAAAAGTTTTCTAAAAATGTTAGAACAAAGACACAGAAATAAAGTTTAGAATATTTAACTCGTGGTCAAAAGAAGATTTTTAGGTCAGATTTTGTCTTAAAGTGTTTAACTGTGTTTAGATATAATAACTAAGAAAACGGCTAAAAGTTTGAAGAAGATATTATTGGTTAAATAAAAACCGGTAGCAAATACTGTTTTTTTTTAAACTGTTCTTAATTATAATGTAATAATTTTTAAAAAGAATAATAGTTTAAAAATAATTTTGTTTAAATAAAAACCAGTAGCAAATATTGCTCTCTAACAAATTAGAACTTGAGCTATAAATAAATCATATAATTTTGAAAACATGCTTAATTTTGAAGTATAAAAATATTTACTGTCAAAACTTTTTAAATAAAAACCAGTAGCAAGTACTGCATTCTTAAATAAATACAATCAGATCTAGAGCTATAAAAAAATCATAAATTAACCCAAATGATCTTAACAATCATAATAAAAATCCTGTCGAAATTTCAATGAGAATAACATAAATACAATAAATAATGAAAAATATTTAAATAATTCCAATGAAAGAAGAAGAAAAAATACATCCAAACACCACATGATATGAATATGAACTCAATTAATGCCAATAAAGATGAATTTGTGTTTTTTTTTCATTATTTCTGCTTAAAATTTCGAAAAAAATAATAATAAAATATATTAAATGAAGACATGAGAAAGTGAAATAAATAAAATCTGAGAAATTTTTGATTCAATTAAAATACATGCATAATAAATAAATGCATTTGTAGCCATATAGAGAGAGTTGTACTATATAATTCTGTAAAGAAATTATAAATTGATACAAAAGGAATATAAGAAAAAGAAAATTGAAAACAAAATAGAATTGAAAATGCAGGGCAATAAACTTGGAACGGCATACTGAACCTTAAATAAAATATTTTCTATAAATTCTTATTTTTTCTGGAAAGAACAGAAGAGAGAAAAAAGTCTGTTTCTAGGAATATTATAGACACACAATTTTAGTTTAAATGAATAGGGAGTCAGAGAGTTGTGTACAAATATTAGAGGAGTTTTCTTTTTATTCGCTTTTGAAATGTTATAAATAAACTTTTCCTGACGTGAACTTGAAATTAATAGTCTGGATATTTTTGTGTGTTTCTCGTGGTGCTATTTGGAACAAAAAAAAAAAAAAAATTTGTCACAATTTATTTTTAGTTTTAAAGAAAATAATTAATTTAATTTTTCCCACCATATGGTTTTAAATAAAACTGAAGTGTCATTATAAAGTAAATAATTTGAATATTTCCTAAATATAATAAACAAAAATATCAAATTGAGTTAAAAAAAAAAATAAATAAAACTTTAAAATTGACTCATTTAATTAGCAGCTATTAAAGAAAAATAACTTAAAAAATGACATAAAATTATTATTAGTTCCACTATATAAAAAACAAAGATTTTTTATTATTTTGTTATATATGTAAATTCTAAAACTTGTTAATATTTTATTTAAGCACAACAAACTATTTTCAAACTCAACACGTGTGAAATTTTATAAAAAGACATTCATTATTTATTGTTTTCTCTCTCTTTACAGCTGATATGAATCTTCTACCATTAACAACATTCTTAGTTATTTTACAAAACTACAAGTGATTTCTTTTATAATTGTTTTTGTTATTATCTACTACCACTCTTGAGTCTGGAATTATTTTTTCCAAAATCTTTCACACTGCCTCCTGCGCTAATATACTCATACGATGTATAAGTTACTGGTC